GGGGTTGAAGATGAATTCTATCACGTTAGGTCATTCTCTTATACCACATAATTCCCCTTAATGTCCCGTGTCTTTTGTTTATTGTTCTATATGTTCTCCCTACAGGTCCGAACAGTTCCATGTAAAACGCTGGGAGCTCTTGCAAAGCTTTCAAATCAATATGCACAGAAGGCCTTGGACTTGTTGATGGACATGATGAATGAGATACAGAAGCAGTTAGACTGCAAACTTTGTAGACACTGTTTGATATGGCAACATATGGATGTTTGAGCATGCTGGAGAAGCACATGCACATGGTACTAATTATCAATATAATGTATCTCGTGTAAGCTAGATGTATGAATTGGTTCTTTATTTGTAATTAACTGTGCTAGATGCTAAATTTGGTAACCTTATGCCTCCTGTTGCTTTTGCAGTTGCTTGGCATATTGATGGATGCCAATGTCGTAGTTCGAAATCCAGCACGCAAGATCCTAGGGCCAGTGAATCTGCCTAAACTTCGAATGTTTAAATCTGCACTTGATGGTCTCATTGCAGGTCTGGAGAAAAATCTGGAGGTATGTTAGTGCAGAACAATCACCATGCTTCACAATTATCTCTCCCTTGCTATTCTGATCTTTGCTTGAACATTTTCTAGATGAATTATTCGTGTAGTCAATGTAACACGGAGCCTCGGTTATCCCGCTAAATGTTAATATGAGTTTCATTCAGCGTATAGAATATTGCTTACTCTATAATTGCTTCAGTTTTGTTGTAACTGACTCTTTTCTTCGATGTTGCGACCATATTTATTATATGCAGGATCAAGATATATATGGCGTTCTGTTTTCCATTGGCAAGAATCATAGGAGCTTTTCAGCCAATATAGCCAAACATTTAGCGAAAGAGGTGTTTCTCCATTGCTTACTTCCAATTTTGTCTACATGCTAATGTTCTATATAAAATGTATGTTTTCACTTTCAGTATTGCTGCTGCACTGATTCTTTATGTTTGCGCGGTTCTTTCAAGTTCGGTATATACTAGAAAGGAGGTACCAACTCAAGTTCGGTAGGGTTTACCCATGCTCTTATTTTCTGTCAGTCCTATGGAATTTGAGAATATTCCAAGCTATCAACCTTAAATAATAATAATGAATGCATCTATTTGCAGGCTGCTATGTAATTTGTAATGATGAAGCCTACTCAACCCCAACTGTAGATTTCTTTTTAGCCAAGTAATACTTTAAGGATTTGTTGCATATTTATAGTTTGATTTAGGACAACTGAATCTGGATGGCAAAGAGCATATTTAATTTATATATTTATTTAGAAGATCATATTAATATACATTATCCTTGTGAGCCAAATGTTTGAAGCCCTGTGTAATACCTATCCTATAAGATACACCTGATTATGTGAGCTTACCCTACCGCCAAGGTGGTGTTTTTTCTCGTCACGGAAACTCTGTCGCCCCCTACCGTCATGTGCTTTGGCGGTAGGATCCAGCAACCTACCGCCATAGGCTCTGGCGGTAGGGTATGAGCCTACCGCCAAGGGGTTGATTTTTTCCGTCACAGAAACTATGCCCCCCTACCGCCATGGGCTCTGGCGCTAGGGTCCAGCAACCTACCGCCATGGTATGTGGCGGTAGGTTTAAAAACAGAGGCCTTCCTCTGTTCTATCCATCATCTCAGCACAACAGTTTATAAATAAAAATCATCACATAGATTGCTGACAAATCACACAAATTGCTGACAAACTAAATTTCTCACGACACCTTGCAAACATCTCCACACCAAATTCAATACAAATGACAAATTCATTCACAACAAGTTCACGACACATGGCTTCATGCCTTAGTACTACATAGTTCATAATAAATTTGGCATGGCTTCATCCGGTTACATGACGAGTCCACCGAAGCGAATGCTTTACTGAGTCATACAGGGCCATTTCCCCTTCTTGTCACGTGCCCCATCCTCCTCTTGTGCCTTGCGAGCCTTTGCAAGCTTTCTTGTCCTTTCCTCACGAGCAAGCTTCATTTGGTGTGCCCTCTCCTCCTCGCGTTACTTCCGCTCCATCCTCTCTTTCTGACGACACTCTTCCTCCAAGCCTCTTTGAAACCTTTCTTCGAACAGCCGCTGGTGCCTAAGATAATTTTCATATTGGTCCTTTTGGACATCTTTTGGCACTTCATGATCTATCCAGGTGAAGTACTTGCATAGAGGAGGCGGTGAGTGCATATAAAATGGATGTTAGTGTTGGCACACATTTTGGAGTAACATGTTACTTCTCTAGCATACCGGTGGAAGGTCATAGGCGTTAGTTGGTAGGTCATAGGCATTAGGGCCCACAAACCAGCCCCTTATCCACCACCCAGGACCCTACCGCCACAGTGCTGGCGGTAGGCTTCAGTACCCTACCGCCAGAGCCCATGGCGGTAGGCCCTTTTCCATGTCAGCACGAGCCGACGGCCGTTAGTCGCCGTCAAGGGACCTACCGCCAGAGCCCACGGCGGTAGGACGTGCAAACCTACCGCCACCCCCTGGTGGTAGGCAAAAGGGTTAGATCTCGAAATATTTCCAAAGGGGAGCCGAAAGCCAGCGTGCGGCGGATTTGCAGAAGCCATCCCTACTCGTCCGTCCTCCTACTATCTCCTGCCGTCTTGCGCCGCGCCTGCTCCCCGCCTGCGCATCCTGTATCGCGGCCATCTCCTCCCTCTCCGCACTCTGCGGGCGTCTTGTCCTCTGCCGCAGCCCTCTCGAGATCCCCTCTGCCGCCGTAGCCCTGCCCTATTCCTCGCGGACTCCTGCTCCTCTACGCCACCTATTGCCAGGTTCTGCCCGCCCCCTCCCGGCCCACCCCTCCGCGGCCTACCTGCAGCATGCTGTCGGTCGTTCTCGCATGGAGTAGGCACAAGGGGCACCACCGCCCGCACCACGGCAGTCCAGTTCCACCACCGCTGGTAGGTCCTCTGCCAATACACCAACGAACTGGTGATCTTATATGCTTTTGATTATACGGTTGATCTCATTTATCACAAGGTCTATGCTCATTCAGATCATGTAGCAGGCAGCAATGCCCCTACAGTATTAGGATTTAGGAAGGCAAAAAAAATCAGGATTATAGTCTAAAAGACCATGAAGAAACTTATGCAGTAGATGAGTATTGATTAGTATCATTCCATAAATAAAGGGCACAGGGCCATCCTTCCATTATCCTTGTCCCATTTTGTAAAGTAAGTTAGGCGGCCACTACCGTTGAGAAGAAACATAGATATGCCCCTTACAAAACTCTATGCTAGCTCCTGTGTTTTGTACTATTATGCTAAATTCTTTCCATCAACTGTTTGGATAACAATGTCCTAAGCAATCTGGATAAAAAGTTAGCTGGAATGAACATGTGTAACTAAATCTAAATGCATATATACTTTGAGGAGGAGTTCAATCCATACAGCTACATTGTTGCTATTTTTTAAATTCTCAGCTATATAGAAATTGATTCTTCTTTTCAAGTCTCTATGGTGATATCAGAATAACAGTTACAAAGACCTGAAAATTTAATCATACAGTACATATGCGACCAGCATGCAGTTCTAATTTTAATTTGCTAGAGATTATTAGTTTTAGTTTGCAAGAAATATACTTATTTGGGTTTTGCAAAATTCTTTCCAAGCTTATGGGGCCGTGAATCTCATGGACGAGGGCCTCGCCGCTTCCAAACCCGGCTCGTCCGTCTCCAAGTGGGCTTGGTTTATGGGGCCGCACACATCTAGTAGCTCAGGTGCTGACCCTGAGATGGAGATCCGAGCACTAGTCTCAATGGCCAACGGACTCTACCGTTGTCACGGGCGGAGGTGCTCAGTGGCCTCGCTGTGGTTCTTAAGAAGGTGAATGTCGGCGGCGGGGTTGTGGAGTGTTGCTATGCTTGCGCGGAGAAATTGCTGAGGGGCGAGGACAAGGGTATCAGGTTGGCAGCTGTGCGATTGGTGAGATTTTGTCATTTATGGGTACTTATGTTTTCTTTTGTGCTACTGTATGCTTTTGAGATTTACATATGAGGAATTGAGGAGATCTCCTGTCTTCGGTGGATAGGTTGGCCTTTGTGCGGAGAAGTTTGCCATGAGAGAGGATTTGGGTGGTGATGGTGACCAAATGGACTGGGTTATCCTACATGTATGGTTTGCACTTCGCGCTGGATTCGGTGTTCATGAACGATAGGATCAACGAGCTGAGTGTGGGCCTAGTGTTAATTGTATACCGACATTTTTATTTAGCCTAATACTTCTGTTTCTATATGTCAATTCCAGGCTAGTATAGATTGGAATGAATAGTTATACGACATGCCCATAACTGATACTGGGAGCGATGTTCTTGTTTTTTACTTAGAAGACCTGTATTTTCATCAATTTACCTTTCTGTTCTTATCACTAGAAATCCTTTTGACAAGGTGAAAGTACTCATGGTGAATGAGATTTACTACTAAAACATGCAGTTTGTGATGCACACAATAAGAAAGATGCATCTAATCATGCTTGCGCATTTAATATTTGTAACTTACAAGTTTTACTCCACTGACCACTGTAATGATAACTGCTTTGTTTCCCCTTTGGACTTCTCTATTCAGCTTAGCTCCGTGGCCAGGGACATGTGTACAGAAGTAAGAATTGAAGCATTCAACGCACTTTACAAAATCCAGAGAGTATCTGAAGGTGTTTTGCTTCAGTCGCTGTCTAAGAAGATCATAAAAACTGACACTGGGAGTGCCTCTAGCATCAAAGGGAAAAAACTACAACCTAAATTATCATTCCCTAGTGCTGCTTGCATATTTGCGCATGGGGTTGAAGATGAATTCTATCACGTCAGGTCATTCTCTTATACCACATAATTCCCCTTAACGTCCCGTGTCTTTTGTTTATTGTTCTATATGTTCTCCCTACAGGTCCGAACAGTTGCATGTAAAACGTTGGGAGCTCTTGCAAAGCTTTCAAACCAATATGCACAGAAGGCCTTGGACTTGTTGATGGACATGATGAATGATGATACAGAAGCAGTTAGACTGCAAACTTTGCAGGCACTGTTTGATATGGCAACATATGGATGTTTGAGCATGCAGGAGAAGCACATGCACATGGTACTAATTATTAATATAATGTATCTCGTGTAAGCTAGATGTATGAATTGGTTCTTTATTTGTAATTAACTGTGCTAGATGCTAAATTTGGTAACCTTATGCCTCCTGTTGCTTTTGCAGTTCCTTGGCATATTGATGGATGCCAATGTTGTAGTTCGAAATGCAGCACGCAAGATCCTAGGGCCAGTGAATCTGCCTAAACTTCAAATGTTTAAATCTGCACTTGATGGTCTCATTGCAGGTCCGAAGAAAAATCCGGAGGTATGTTAGTGCAGAACAATCACCATGCTTCACAATTATCTCTCCCTTGCTATTCTGATCTTTGCTTGAACATTTTCTAGATGAATTATCCGTGTAGTCAATGTAACACGGAGCCTTAATTATCCTGCTAAATGTTAATTTGAGTTTTATTCATCGTATAGAATATTGCTTACTTTATAATTATTTGAGGCTTTGAGCCCATGACTTCAATTTTGTGGTAACTGACTCTTTTCTTCTATGTTGCGATCGTATTTATTATATGCAGGATCAAGATATATATGTCGTTCTGTTTTCCATTGGCAAGAATCATGGGAGCTTTTCAGCCAATATAGCCAAACATTTAGCCAAAGAGGTGTTTCTCCATTGCTTACTTCCAATTTTGTCTACATGCTAATGTTCTATATAAAATGTATGTTTTCACTTTCAGTATTGCTGCTGCACTGATTCTTTCTGTTTGCGCGGTTCTTTCAAGTTCGGTATATACTAGAAAAGAGGTACCATCTCAAGTTCGGTAGTGTGTACCCATGTTCTTATTCTCTGTCAGTCGTTTGGAATTTGAGAATATTCCAAGCTATCAACCTTAAATAATAACAATGAATGCATCTATATTTGCAGGCTGCTAAGTAATTTGTAACGATGAAGTCTACTCAACCCCAACTGTAGATTTATTTTTTAGCCAAGTAATACTTTAAGGATTTGTTGCATATTTATAGTTATATTTAGGACAACTGAATCTGGAAGGAAAAGATCATATTTAATTTATATTCATTTTTGGATGACCATATTAATATACATTATCCTCATGAGCCAAATGTTTGAAGCCCTGTGTAATACCTATCCTATAAGATACACCTGATTATGTGGGCTTACCGTACCCCCAAGGTGGTGTTTTTTCTCGTCATAGAAGCTTTGCCGCCCCCTACCGCCATGTGCTCTGGTGGTAGGATCCAACAACCTACCGCCACACGCTCTGGTGGTAGGGTTTGAGCCTATCGCCAAGGGGTTGATTTTTTCCATCACAGAAACTATGCCACCCCTACCGCCATGGGCTCTGGCGGTAGGGTCCAGCAACCTACCGCCAGGGTGTCTGGCGGTATGTTTAAAAATAGAGGCCTTCCTCTATTCTATCCATCATCTCAGCACAACAGTTTATAAAAAAAATCATCACATAGATTGCTGACAAATCACACAAATTGCTGACAAACTAAAGTTCTCACGACACCTTGCAAACATCTCCACACCAAATTCAATACAAATGGAAAATTCATTCACGACAAGTTCACGGAACATGGCTTCATGCCTTAGTACTACATAGTTCATGATAAATTTGACATGGCTTCATCCGGTTACATGACGAGTCCACCGAAGCGAAGGCTTTACTGAGTCATACGGGGCCATTTCCCCTTCTTGTCACGTGCCTCATCCTCCTCTTGTGCCTTGCGAGCCTTTGCAAGCTTTCTTGTCCTCTCCTCACGAGCAGGATTTGTTTGGCTTGCCCTCTCCTCCTCGCGTTACTTCTGCTCCATCCTCTCTTTATGACGACGCTCTTCCTCCAAGCCTATTTGAAACCTTCCTTGAAACAGCTACTGGCGCCTAAGACAATCTTCATATTTGTCCTTTTGGACATCTTTTGGCACTTCATGATCTATCTAGGTGAAGTACTTGCATAGAGGAGGCGGTGAGTGCATATAAAATGGATGTTAGTGTTGAAACACATTTTGGAGTAACATGTTACTTCTCTAGCATACCGGTGGAAGGTCATAGGCGTTAGTTGGAAGGTCATAGGCATTAGGGCCCACAAACCAGCCCCTTATCCACCTTATCCACCACCCAGGACCCTACCGCCAGAGGTGCTGGCGGTAGGCTTCAGTACCCTACCGCCAGAGCCCATGGCGGTAGGCCCTTTTCCACCTCAGCACGAGCCGACGACCGTCAGTCGCCGTCAAGGGACCTACCGCCAGAGCCCATGGCGGCAGGACGTGCAAACCTACCGCCACCCCCTGGTGGTAGGCAACAGGGTCAGATCCCGAAATATTTCCAAAGGGGAGCCGGAAGCCAGAGCGCGGCGGATTTGCAGAAGCCATCCCTACTCGTTCGTCCTCCCGCTATCTCCTGTCGTCTTGCGCCGCACCCGCTCCCTGCCTGCGCATCCTGCATCGCGGCCATCTCCTCCCTCTCCGCACTCCGTGGGCGTCTTGTCCTCTGCCACATCACGCTCGAGATCCCCTTCGCCGTTGCGGCCCTGCCCCATTCCTCGCGGCCTCCTGCTCCTCTACGCCGCCTACTGCCAGGTTCTACTCGCCCCCTCCCGGCCCACCTCTCCGCGGCCTACCTACAACACGCTGTCGGCCGTTCTCGCATGGAGAAGGCACAAGGGGCACCACCGTCGGCACCGCGGTAGTCCAGTTCCACCACCGCTGGTAGGTCCTCTTCCAATACACCGACGAACCGGTGATCTTATATGCTTTTGATTCTACGGTTGATCTCAGTAATCACAAGGCCTATGCTCATTTAGACCATGTAGCAGACAACAATGCCCCTACAAGATTAGGATTTAGGAAGGCAAATTTTTTTTAGGATTGTAGTCTAAAAGACCATGAAGAAACTTATGCGGTAGATGAGTATTGATTAGTATCATTCCATGAATAAAGGGCACAAGGCCATCCTTCCATTATCCTTGTCCCATTTTGTAAAGTAAGTTAGGCGGCCACTACCCTTGAGAAAAAACATAGATATGCCCCTTACAAAACTCTATGCTAGCTCATGTGTTTTGTAGTATTGCGCTAAATTCTTTCCATCAACTGTTTGCATAACAATGTCCTAAGCAATCTAGATAAAAGTTAGCTGGATTGAACATGTGTAACTAAATCTAAATGCATATGGAAATTGTTGCTGCATTGTTGCTATGTTTTTTTAATTCTCAGCTATATGGAAATTGATTCTTATTTTTAGGTCTTTGTGCTGATATCAGAATAACAGTTACAAAGACCTGAAAATTTAATCATACAGTAAATATGCGACCAGCATGCAGTTCTAATTTTAATTTGCTAGAGATTATTAGTTTTAGTTTGCAAGAAATATACTTATATGGGGTTTGCAAAATTCTTTCCAAGCTTATGGGGTCGTGAATCTCATGGACGAGGGCCTCGCCGCTTCCAAACCCAGCCCGTTCATCTCCAAGAGGGCTCAGTTTGTGGGGCCGCACGCATCCAGTAGCTCAGGTGCTGACCCTGAGATGGAGATCCGAGCACTAGTCTCGATGGCCAGCGGACTCTACCCGTTGTCACGGGCGGAGGTGCTCAGCGGCCTCGCTGCGGTCCTCAAGAAGGTGAATGCCGGCGGCGGGGTTGTGGAGTGCTGCTATGCTTGCATGGAGAAATTGCTGAGGGACGAGGATGAGGGTATCAGGTTGGCAGCTGTGCAATTAGTGAGATTTTGACATTTATGGGTACTTATGTTTTCTTTTGTGCTACTGTATGCTTTTGAGAGTGACATATGAGGAATTGAGGAGATCTCCTGTCTTCGGTGGATAGGTTGGCCTTTGTGCGGAGAAGTTTGCCATGAGAGAGGAGTTGGGTGGTGATGGTGACCAAATGGACTGGGTTATCCTACAGGTATGGTTTGCACTTCGCGCTGGATTTGGTGTTCATGAACATTGTTTGGCGAGTACAAATTTGAGTTACTACAGGTTTTTATAGACCGGAAAATATATAATGTCATTACAGTTGTTTGCTGATATCTAACACTTGTCTACAACATTTAGAAGACTACACATAGTTTATCACAAGTTCTTACCATTTGTTTTTCTAGGTTTCGTGAGGGAGAGAAGTATACTCCCTCATTTGAGAATGCATTCCCATTTTTTGACTTTCTGCTATCAATGTAAGACTAAAACCACAGTTTGTGACCACAATATGGTACATGTTTTTTTCCAAAATTTGGATTTTGAGAATACCCAAGGCACGGCTTGACGCACTTTGTCAGATTATTTGTGGCCGCGTTGCCATGTGATCACTGTTAGCAGATTGTTTGAGCGGTCCTGGTAGCTCATTTATTTTGTAAAATAGAAATCATAGTAGACATTATAGCAGGCATCACACTAGCCGAGATTCCTTTCATTAGATGATAAAATATCATTGGAGCTGAGACTTGAGTTCTACAACGAGAGGTGCTTATAGTATAGCATGGAAACAACTAAAAAAATTCTGAGAATAGTGGAATACATCAGATCAAAGCACTAGGCTTCCTCCCCTCAAAGGCCCCCTTGCTGTCAAAGAGACATTGTCTTTCAGCATTCAGAAGGTTGATATTTGATACTGTTGCAGCGAGCAGCATAGTTCCTCTTGTTTGACTTCCCTTAAAACCTTCCTCAAGAGTGCACCAGAGTGTTCCATTTCTCCAACATTGTATCTTCTTTATTTGGGTTGTCATCTTTTTCCAAATATCTCTTTAGCTGCGCCGGCCATGGGTTGAACCGCCACTTTTTACAATTTTACATCATGGCCAAGAAACAAAAATTTGCAAGGATATGGTCACGTACTAAGTATAAGCCATGATGGTAACTCATTTTATAGGTCTTCTGTATCTCTACCAACTGGAGGAGAAAAAGCAACAGTTGTAGGAACGTGAATAGCCAAGTCTATCACAAAGGTTGCACATAACATATCTATTACATAGGTTGCACACTACATCCAGCTACTGATCGAGAGAGAGAGAAAACCAATATTTTCATATTAAAATATTAGAACATAATGATATGTCAATATAGTCAAACATTGGAAAAATAATCCCTTGAAGATTGGGCTGCAGTAACAGCAGAAGATATGGAATTATTTTCATCTTTGGTAATTAGATTCTTTCTGTTCCATCTTATACTATCTTAGTAGACCAGATCTTGTCCATTCAAACACATGGTTAAATTTCATAGGGAGACATGTTATATAGACACAACTTCTATACAGACTACAGTCACGTATCTATCAACGAAGAAGGAAAAAAGAAAACCAACAATAAACAAGCAGGAAATGAACCAAGAACTTTTGAGATTTAAATAATAATGAGCAAACCATATGTATTTATAGACGCAAGTATAATGAAAACATTTTAATTGTAGGTATTAATGAAGTATGATAACATCGCAATGGAACTAGTTTGCACAGACTCATCCTCTAATCAAGGAATCATGTTGTTTTTGACCTACATGCTACATTAAAATAAGCAGATTATGCCTCATTTTCACATTAGCATGGAAATCAATTCATGTACATTTATTTAGCTTCTGGGGCACCAATGGCATTGCAATCTACAGGAAACTTTCTACGAAGAAATAAATGTTAAACCATTGTTTGCATCAAAAGGGAACTTCCATTTTGATGGCTAAATATTAGTCCGCGA